GAGAACCCCCCCCCCCCCCCCCCACCCAAAGAAAAAAAAAAAAAACAAATATGCGAGAACTAGATGAATGTAAAAATACTTTTGAATGGCACCACTTTGTGACGTAATGTCCTTGTTTGAGCCATATTATTGGAATGAAAATGCATTTTTGAATAGTGTATTGATGGGAAATGTGTCGTTAAAATATAAGAAAAAGTTTTGGATTTGCGTATAATATTATTTTATTTTGAATTCCTTCAAGCTAGCATCGAACTTTTGTGAATCTGGCATCTTCCATGCTTTTTACCTGTCAAAATTGTCCTCTTGCAGAATGGCAATAATTCCAATTTAGTTTATCCTTAAGTTGCATTTTCATTTTTGTCAAGACAAAAAGATGAAACTGTGGAATGTGGATATCTTTCAGGATGCATTAATACTTTTCTTGAACTTCCATCATATAAGTATTTGTCAATAGTATTTTTGTTTATTGCTGGCACTAACTGAGTACTTTCTGCTTGCAGAGGATCAGTATTGGTCAAAATTTTCCATGGTTCTGGGATTCTGTTCTTTGCACTGGTGTCATCCTGCACGGTATCGGTGATTTGAAGCCCGAGTTCAATTTCTTTCTGTTTCCCGTTCCAGGCATCCCCTCCCGGAAAGTACGACCGAGCTTTGCATATCTTGTTGCTGGATATTTTACCTATCTCACAGCCTTGGCCTTGGCGCCATACCGAGCATTTTACCCTATGGCTGCCATTGGAGTGGCTTCCTTTGCCTTTAGGATTATTCAGAGAAGGAACAGAGAGAAGGGCGAGACCTATCGTAGCAGCAGAAAGCATTCACACAGACATTGACAATTTTCCTTTTTCTTTTTTCTTTTTAGGAAAATGTATCATTTAATTGGATTCGACATGGTGTTGACCTTGAGATCAAAATCCAGATACGTGCATAAATTTTGTATTGATTTTTGTTTTCATTGTTAAAAAGCATTGAATGTTCATTGTCCCAAAATTTCAGTACTCAGCTGTGACTTGTGGACCCCAATGATACCATGGACTAAACTGGGGGAATACTGAGAACCAAGCAACGTATTATGAGTAATGCTATCTATCACTAGAACGTCAGTCTAGCCTAAAAGTGATAGACCTAATGAAATGTATAATTAAGCGATTCGTTTAATTATACTTTACACCACGTTAGTGCTACATAGACTGGTGTTTTAACTACATTTGTGTTAAATAGTATTACTTTTTTATGATGATAAGACCCCATCCCTCTTGAATGGTGGCTGAAGGTGTTATTTTGGAGCGGCCAGTATCCTAACAGGGTAAAAATCTGAAAAGTTTAGCCTGGCACACCCGTGTTGGGATTACGGGCTTTTACAACTCTTGCAATTTTACACGTCATGAGTCGCGCTACAGCCAAATCTAACATGGTCCCACGTAGAAATATGATCGACTCATTCTAACACCTTAACTAGCCACTACAAGCAGGGGCGGGCATACTGTTTGTTGGTTGGCTACCGATCAGGATCGATTCTTTTCGACACCTCTAGTAATAGTTGTCATAGGTCTTCGAGCAACGTCTTAAAAATCAACTTTACTCAAAATTTTGCTAAGAAGTAAGAGTGTGCTTGATTAAATATATTTTTCAATGAAAATATCAGTTTTTTACCCAAATTTTTTTTCGATTGAAAATATTTTTCAACTTTTGAAAATATACCTAATTTTCCTTGTGTTTTAAGGAAAATATTTTCTTTGGAGGATTAGGTTTTTGTTTCCCTCAAAATAAGGAAAATATTTTTTTTTTTTAGGTGATATTTTCCATGATAATTAAACATACACTATAGGATCCGTTTGATTGTAAATATGAAATTTAGGTGGAAAGAAAACGAATTCCTGGGAATTGAATTGTCTAGAAATTGTTTTATTGGGAATTGTCAATTATTGTGTTTGATTAGTATAATTTTTCATATGAAAAATGTTGAAATAAAAATATTTTTTGGTGTTCGTTTGACTTTATTTTATATGAAAATTGTCAATTAAAGGGATAGAATTTACTAGTATTTGGGATAGAATTTGTTTCCATTTCCAAAAAAAAAAAGAAAAAAAAAAGCTAACAAAAACATCTATCTTTTAGTATTCGTTTGACTTTGTTTTACATGAAAATTGTCAATTAAAGAAAAATATTTTTTTACAATTAGGGATAAAATTTATTTCCATTGTCAAAAAAAATAAAAAATAAAAATTGGCAGCCTCAAGGAAGCCAAGAAAAGTCCAATTTTCAATAAAATCAAGCAAATGAATTCCATGGAAAATTTTTGCTATCAAACACTATCAAAGGGTGAAAAATAGAAAAAGAAATTCCATTTTCCTGGAAAAGATTCCCAATCAAACGGGGCCTAATAGTTATCTGCCGGATTTTGGGGGCATCTCTTAATTATAATAATATCCAAACATGCTCCACAAACACACCCCATGTCATCAACTCATGATTTGTGATTCCATAATCCTCGTAAGATCTGCCATCATTTGTCCCCCAATTCATAATTTGATTGATTCTTTAATTGGATGAAGTGGGGCATATATTATGAAAATTATTATACACCACATGGTTTGGAAGAATGAAATTATGAAACAGACATCCACAAAGGGTGGAGAAAATAGCAAACTTAGAACATACATATTTGGCTAATCTTAAAATGCACCTTCTAAGTAATTTCTTTGTCAGAAGCATGGCATGCTTGTGCAAGTTTAAATTTTAAAAGGAGCTTATAGTTGCTTCTTTCGGCGACGGCATAATAAATTGTGTTTAAGCCTAGTCAAACATGCTCTAAAACTTCTTTAAAGATTACTTTTTTCGATGAAATGTGAAATAACTATGCTATCTTGTCAAAATTATTATACACCACATGGTTTGGAAGAATGATATCATGAAAGACATCAACAAAAGGTGGAATAAGNTTCAGTAAAAAGTCCCTTTTTTGACACATGACTTCCAAAAAAATGAAAACAAAAGTTTATTTCTTTGGTTCCATTTTCGAACATTAAAAGTGAAGTTCTAGGTCCTCAATCTAATTAAATATGTGAATTGGATCCCAAGTAATCAAAATTGTCAATTTAGAGACTACAAAGTAAAGTAGAATACGACTTCCATTGAAATAAGGAGAATTTTAAGTGATTTGACGATTTTTCCTTCACTGTAAGTCAAGTGAAAATCACAAGTTATTTGATCGCATTGACAGTTTTAGTCACGTAAAAATGCAATTTTATAAATACAAATAGAATGGATTCCTAGAACCACACTTTTAAAGGTCAAAGATCTATAACCACACAACGTGAAAGGTTGGAAGGGGTACCCTTAATTTTTTTCCTTTCTTTGAAGCTTTTTTAATATTAATATTCAAAACATGTACACACATTAAACCAAAAACATAAATACCATGGTTATTAAATGGGCTTTAATTATGTGATTTGAATACTTTAGAAAAGTTATTAATAATTAATTTCACTTTAAAATTGTGACAAAGTCGTTTTTATCAATCTCAAGCCTCTAATGTCTATCTGGATAATCCCTAAATCATTAAATGTATGTTTAATATATACAATATTGAACTCAATCAAACCTCTTTTAATTTTTTAATAATAATGTCCAATGTCATGCATTCACGAGCCACATACCATACTACGATGTTTTAACAAAGAGTTGGTTTGCTTGTTACATCAAATTCCCCAGTAGTTATGAGAATGTTTGCTTCTACTTCATGCTCACTCCCCTTTTCTCTGTTACTCAATCCCACCCATCACCTCAAATACAAATAAGAAATAATAATTACGTACAATTTTTTTATTATGATGTATAGCAAAATCTAGAATTATGGACAGCATTTTTAGATATTCCCATAAAAAATTATTAGAAAAATGTAGAACCTCAAAAAATCAGTTAATATTTCTTAAAAAATGGTGGACCCGTGGCAGTTTGAAAAGGAAAACCCACAACCAAGAATTGAACAATTGGCAGCATACTTTCCGTGGCCTACTTTGTTTACAACGTTTGTCTATTTCTTTTCGTTTGAATTTCAAATTCAAAATAACTTCCATAAAAAAGCTAAGAAAAAGTTCGGATTTTTCTCAGGTTCTGTTTTCCAAACGTTGAAGGTTTCTTCTCAATCTGGGACAGCATGGGGGACTCAGGTGCTCTCATTCTTGCCTTCCCTTATTCTTCAGACTTACCCAATGAAGCCAATCAGGTAAAGAATAAAACCCAGGTTTTTTAATTTCTTGTCCTCAGAATCTTGATTTTTTATTTTTCTTACTGTTCTTTTGGTTAGAATGCCAGATTCTTGTGTTGTAGCGACCAAATATTCACGAATTTTTATCCCACTTAATTGATTTCTAATTTTTTTTGGTTAGAATACCAGATTCTTATGTTACTCCATGGAGTCTAATTGTAGTTTTGACTCTCCCTCCACTGCGAATCGACCTAATATTCCTACTGTAAAGTGGTTTTTTTTTTTTTTTTAATTCTGGGCCAGTTTTGATAAAACAGGTGTGAGAAAACCTGCAACGGCTACATATATCTAATATCGAGTGTGAACTGCTATAAATTTTATGTAGTTTTCTTGTTTTAAGATATTAGGACTTAATATGTGAAAGTGAGAAATGAAAGTTGATGTATTACAGGGGAATCCCATGCTTGCTCTTGGGGAGTCGATTTCTTTCGGGAGGTTTATGTCGGAATCTTTGTCGTGGGAAAAATGGTCGACATTTTCTCACAAGAAATACGTCGAAGAGGCTGAGAGATATTCACAGCCTGGATCAGTAGCCCAGAAGAAGGCTTTTTTTGAGGCTCATTACAAGAGAATTGCCGCTCAAAAGGCAGCCGCATTGTTGGAACAAGAAAACTCTGTTGATGAGCAAAAGATCCCAGATGCAAAAGTACAGGATGTAAGAGCTCGTTTGGTACACAATATTGAACAGTACAATTACAACTATAACAGATAAGATACTAATTTCCTTTTTTCTCAATTAATCAAGCATAACAAAGATGTTGAAAAGTTTGAATCAAACGAAGTGGAAAGTGTCAAGGTGGAACAAACCGCCCCGGTGACAGAAAAAGAAGTCTTGATGGAGACTCCTGTGAAGAAAATTTCGATGAATCAGGTTCATAATCTTGAAAACAATGACACAATTTCTGAATCAGAGACTAATGATATACCGAAGGCAGACATATCTTTGTTGAAGGTGATTGAAATTGACAAGGTAGATTTCTTATCCTTCATTTCTTTGGTGAATGTCTTCATTCCGTACGCATTTGTTACATCATATTGGACCGGTAGATTATAGTTTTGTGTTATCCAATCCCCCAAAAAAAAAATGCTTAGTTCGAAACTGATAGTTTAAAGCCAATGCAGCAGAATTCATTTGCCGAATGGGAAAGGCAATCAGTGACCAGCAAGAAAAGATCAGCTCTTTTTTCATTGAAGTCATGGTTTCACTGCAAAACATCTAAAGGACCTCCATCAGAGAAAAGGTACCTCATCTAATTTTCAGAAAAGGGGAACAAACATTTAAGCCCTTGTTTGAGCTTCCATTTTAATGAAAATTTTGGGGAAAATGAGTTTTGGAATAGTGTTTTTTTTGAAAATGTGTGATTAAAAAATAAAGAAAAGTTTCACGGTCTATTTGTAATTTTATTTTATGAGGGAATGTGCTGTTGAAAATGAGTTTTGAAAAAATGAGGGTCAAACATAGGCAGATGCATCTTGAATGATGAACATAATGGTGTTGGGCTTGCTCTAAGAAAAATGATTTTATTGATGATTGAATCGAAGAGTGTCTGCATCCATTTTTACTGTATGTTTGCCAATGGCAGTGCCTCATAAAATAATCTGTGAATTTTCTCATGATATGCTTGTTTGTCAGCCCCTCCAAGTCCTTGGTTGCTCGTCAAGAAAGAGTTACCGATAGACAAGAGGCAAGATTTTACACTGATTCTGTTTCTTTAACTTGAGCTTACTCTTGATGTGTTGTGGAACTGAATTAGTACATATGCTTTTCAACGTTTTCAGAAACCCAAGGACAAATTCAATGCCGAGGAGATGCCAAAGGTGCAGCTATGAACCAAAATAAGGATGAATTAAACTCTTGACACAGATTTTCTAGCTTGAGTCATATCTGATCGCACTTGGCCTTAGAGAAGCTTAAAGTTGATCAATTGCTTATAATCGAAAGATCCTTTGTTTTTGCAGGAGGAAACCAGAAGAATATTTAGAAAAGCACATCATATCTTTTGCTTCAAACCTTGATTTTCTACATGGAATGAGAAACATCAACTCTTAAGATGAAAAAGGTATAATCTTTCAACAATTGAGCCTTTGTTTGTCAACTATTCTACCACATTATTTTTTCTACAGTACTCATTGTCAGCCACACTCTCTTCATTAAAATAATATTGCACATAAATCGAAAACTTTTCATTCTTTTCTAAGCACACATTTTAACATCAATCATTATTCCAAAATACACTTTCTAAAATTAAAGGGCAACAAACAGGCCCTGCATTATAATTTTTCTATGAGCCTATGTAATAGTGATCATGATGAGGATCTTATTACCCTTGCTTGGCACCTGTTTAAATCGGTCAAACCATTTTTAATCTACATATTTTGCAGAGCTCACAAGTACTAACAATTTTGAATCTACATATTTAGTAGTATTATAAACAACTTTCAAACATGCTTAAGCTGGAACTGGTTTTCATTTCAGTTCCAAGGCATGACCTCAAAAATGTGAAATTCTGCTTCACTTGATGTTTTTTCTATGAATCTACCAATATGCACATAGATGACTCTATTGTTCATCATTAGACGCAAAATTCGAACCCTCCACTTTAAACTCAGTTGATCATCTTTTCTTGCAGAGTCCCATGGCAGAAACTCAGTCAGCGTACTAGGAAGAACCCGTTGAAGCAAGGCACATAGCACTATTTCAGTGCCGCCTTCACCTTCATCCTTGCTAAATACAATCCCTCCGGCCCCTCAAAATAATATTTCTACCATCAGAATACATGTATTTTCTTTATATTATACTATTAGCAGGCAGTCGACTTCCTGGACGAGGTTTGTTGGTATTTAAGTACTGGTTAAAGAATGTGGAAAAGAGTACAGTCTACTGTATGAGTTTAGGTATGTGGAACTTGTAGAAACAAATTTGAAGTTTATATATCAGTTTCTGCAGTTTGAAGTTAACTGTATAATCATTTTTTATTCGAAATTTGCCTTTCTTTACGGGGACATTTTGTTAGTCTTATGATACCAGTTTGTATGTCTAGTTGTCTACAGCGAACATTATCTTTCAATAATTTAAAGAGCTAAAATGGCTTTAAATTTGGTTTCTATCCTAATTTTCAAATTATCTATGTCAAACAAAATGACATTATTCTGTTTTCAAATGTCAACAAATTTGCTTATGAATGATGCTTTTAAAACAACATTGTGTTACTTTTATCAATGAATAGCTACTATTCTATCCAAAAAGCCATTGGTAGCATGGATGAATGTATGTCTACCGAAAAGTGAAGGTGGCCTTGGTTTTAAAGATATTAAAATGCTGGAATTTAGCATTGCTGTCAAGATCACTTTGGAACATCCACAATAAGAAGGATTCACTATGGGTGCGGTGGATAATTCATATTTACTTGCGAGGGACAACAATTTGGGAATGCTTCTCTAGAAAAGGGGACTCCCCTTTGCTCAAAAAGCTATTGGACGTTGGGGACAAAATCGTTCAGCCTGAAGGTACTGCACATGCTGCATTGGGCAGATTGGAGAATTGGGTTGTTAAAGGGAAGCTTATCATCTCATGAGCATATGATTTTTTCAAGCCAAAGGGGAGAAGACGACATGGGCTACTGTTGTTTGGAGGCCTTGCATTGCACCTAAGCACTTTTTTATCTTGTGGTTAAGTACTCAGTCAAAACTTCTAACCAAAGACAAGTTGTTGTACCTTGATATCAACAGAAATTATGTTTTTTGCGACTCACAAGAGGAAACAGGCAAGCACATTTTCTTCCAATGCTCATTCAGTTCTTGCATTTGGAGATTAGCTAGAGCATGGTTGGGGATTACACGGTCTATGACAACTATTGGAAGTGCCTTGAAGTGGATTAAAAAGAAGGTTCGAGGTACATCTTGGCATTGCAAAGTCAAGAGAATTGCTCTTGCTTGCACCGTTTACTACATATGGATGGCAAAAAATGAGAAGATTTTTGAAGATTTTAGACAATGCATTGATAGCATAGTAAGACAAATCAAAACATATGTATACAAAATGATGTTTTTCTTTTATCCTTATATTTTGATTCATTTTGAATCTTTAGATCTTTTCGTTTGTACATCTTTTCTTTTCTTTTGCTCGAGTATGCCTAGAGTACTTGTACATAAGTTTTGATCAATAGAATTTTACATTTACCAAGTTAAAAAAAAAAAAAAAAAATTGAGTCTACAATTAGGATCACTTAAATTCAAAGTTGCTATATGTACAGAAAACGTCTGTCAAACCCGACGCACTTGGCAAAAATCTATCAGTTAAGGACAAAGAAAGGGAAAAAAAAGTACAGAACATGTGGCAGCATCTGGTTCAGTTCTGGCTGCAATTCACTTAAAATTGGTAGTTCTCTCCAATAACTGTCCCACATTGTACAAACGAAACCAGTTTCATCTTTAGTACAACACTTTTTCTTAAATTCCCTGTCACAATTTCTTGCCTGGATTTGAATATGTATATTTTAACAATTATTGGTGGGGACATATATACTATAAGTGAAACTGAAAATTTTTAGTTTTGTATTAATAGGAGCATTTATTGCTAACCATTTGGTAACTGTAAATGCATTCATTCAGTTCAATGGATGACTTTAGGCCGGGCGAGGCTTGTCGAAGACTAAAAGTAGGTAACTAGCGTGTTTTTCCTTTAGATAATCCACTATTTCGATAAGCAATTAAACGTGAGAGCAAGTAAATGTTACCAATTATACGTATAATCGAAAATATAGCATGATAATATATAAACAAAGCCGTCTATTGAAAAATAGAACAATAAAGAGCTCAGTTAACATTTATTATTAAAAGAAGACTTTTTCTTGAGGCACAAAAATAGGATTAGACAAAGTTTCCAAAACTTACAATGGACTACATTATTTTCCCTCACAAAACATATTCAATCTGTCCTGAATAACAATTCCTCCCTAAAGCAGTGGCTGTTTTCATAATTCTGAGGAACTTATTAACTCGTACGCTCAAGTTTCTTGATGTTCTGAATTTGCATTCCGGGATTCAGTCCCTTCGGGCAAGCTTTAGCACAATTCAAAATAGTATGGCATCGATAGAGTTTAAACTCATCGTTTACAGCCTCTAAGCGCTCCTTCGTGTATTCATCACGACTGTCCATGATCCATCTGCATTGATCAGCCAAAAGATTTGATGTCAATAGTGGAAAATTGCAAATGAATTGCAGCTATACTATAAATATTACCGACTTCATGGATTCAGTCCAATTCCCCTTTTAGTAGAACGATAAAAGAAAGAAAATAAGCAAACCACAAAGAGAGTTCATCATCAATGTGAGAGCTACATTAATTCTCTACTACAGGTCCTCACCATGTAGAATATTATACAGGTGATATCTAGCATCACAGAAAACTAGATTGAACTAATACATGTACCAAATGCTTAATATTAGATTCATCCGGGCTCTAGGATAAATGCAGTAATACAGGCTCCACAAATTCAAACACAAATTATACCAAAATACCAAGTATGAACGATTGTTTAAAAGCTATTTGAAAAGTTCTAGTCAATCCTACTATACCCCAACCTACCTTACACTCTACTATGAATAAGGACTATTCTACATACTTGGATGGCTTGTATTCTTTAGCAAATTGCAAAGATTTGCAGCATACACAATATAATATTACCGACATTTATAGATTCAATCCTAATCCCCATTTAGGAGAACAATAAAGGAAAAGAAAATAGAAAACCACAAACAAGCTTTACCCTCAATGTCAGAGTGAAATTCACTCAACTGCAGGATTTCACTATGCAGAAGAAGATTTTATGGGTGGTCCTGAGCCTCTCACAGCCCCCCCCCCCCCCCCCCAATCCTTTATATATATCGAAATATTAAAGCACCTAATACATGTATCGAATGCCTAATATTAGGTCAATCCACACTCAAGAGGTAAATGTCGGGCAATATTAAGTTTCACGCATTTAAACACAAATTATACCCAAAAACCAAGTATAAACGATTAATCAAAAACTATTCAGTGAGTTCCAGCCTGCCTTACTAACAAGTACAAATTCGTCATACAAAATTGCATGGCTTGCATCTTTAGCTTACCCCTCTTTGAATGTGTACAGTTCAAGCAAGCAAACAGCTAGCAGGGCCGAGGAACCACAATGAAGGGGATAACAGAAGTTGCACAAGCATATGACCAGAGATATAAGTTGTGGTTATTTCAGTAGTTAGCTACAGTAGTTTGGAAGGAAGATGGGAGTTGGATAACAATGGACCTTGAAAGAGGCATTCAAATTATCTATTAGATTAGGATGCCAAATGAGGTTACAATCACAAAATGGAAGTTCAATTTCTACAACTCATAGACACAGCATCACTTATTGGAAGTAAGCACATGGTCTGTAGATTTTCAAGTTCTAAAGTATGTTGTAATGAACTTGCAACTGTACAAGTCAGTTCCTGTCTCCTCTTCAATTAATTCACACTTCAATATCTTGCTTGCTTGATATGAGATCATCTGTTGAATGAAACAGCCAGAGCTCAACCGAGAGTAGACCCAGTCAATTTCAGATGACTAACAAGATCACAGCGAGAAGAATGCTAAAAACATAGGATATTACCTCAAGATAATATTAGATAGAATTTCTGCCCGATCATGCAGACACGTAAACAACTACATAAGATCATTTTGAGTCAAAAGTAGATGCCTACCCATACTCATTATAGCAGAGATATTTTAAATATGTCTTAACAGTCCACAACATAATTATTCATTTTATAACAGTTTTCTACTTTTGCCAAGCATGCACTAGCCTGCTAGAAGATGTCTAACTAGATCCCAGTTATTGTTTCGTAAAAATAAACATAAAAATATGCGTTCCTCCAAAAATGAGAAATAGAGTCACATTTAATCTCTGCCATGGTTACACACAAATTTAGAGGGAGAAAGATAGAGTGAATTAGAGTAAATAAAAACACAATGTTTGTTGCTCGTTCTTGGGTGCGCATGTCAAAATTCTCCAAACTCATCTTTAAAAGATGTCTTGCCAGGTAAAACCCAATCTAACGAAATAATTCCTTACATAGAGGGAAAAAAAAAATAAATAAATAAAAATAAAAAATTTATTGAAAATATGTTTTACCTAGAAAAAGAAGATTTAAATTTGGATACATGTTACATCCACATTGGTTTTCAAAAATTTTAAAGAAAATATTTTTCATCAAAAAAGAGTACAAGAAATCTCTTCAATTTTGTGTGGAAAAGTGCTTGAAAAACTTTTGCAGATTGAATTGGTACACAATCATATGAGTAATTATGAATCAAGTCGTCCATTATCATTTTCAAAAGTCCATATTTCAAAAATATGGAACTTAAAAGAATTGACAATTAAATCCTAACAAAATTAGATCCATAAATATTCAGGTCCAAACTCTTGATAAAAAGGGATCCTATAAAAGAAGATATAACAATTAAGTCTTACTTATTGGGATTATATCAACATGTTCTACAAATTATTCAAGGTTCAATAACTTGAGATGAAACACACATGGACGAGGTGTCGTTTAAAACAAACTGCTAACTTGGTTTCTTGTTTGGTGCAAAAAATTTTGTCCTGCTATGGATATTGGATATTGTTACTGAAGAAAAATCTTCTATGAACTTTTTAAAGTTGTCATCTTTGATAAAGGATAAAAATCTTACTCAAAATAAAATTTGATTGATCATGTTTGCAGAGTATTTCATTCCTTGGATATGAAAATAGGAATTCTGCCTCATGTCGGGTAAAACCCCTCAGTTACTAAAATGATTTTCTACCTCTTGGTGGAATAAATATGAACATGAACTATTAGTTAAAAACATTATGGATTATATCAAAATGTACCAACAGCTTGCTGAAAGTGAGCAAGAAGAAAATGTTGATTTAGCACTTGAAAATGTCAATAAAATTGCTGAATCAAGCTTAAAGGGTGAAACCCCAAAAAATTTGAAAAAATCCCTTCTTATGATGATATCTAAGAATAATCATGTAGCCCTCTCATCAGATTAAGAAGAAATATCAATATCTTCAAAAGATATTTCAGATGACTTCTACAATAATGAATGAATTTATGGAAACAAACATGAGGATTCAAAATCTTTATCATGATGATGAAAATGATGAATTCACGCAAGAAGAATTATGTGACTTTTCCTCAAAGGTCAGGGAAGATCTTTTGATTCAATAAATTAGTCCTTGCTTTGTTGCAGGCAGTGTTCTAAAAATCTCATCTAGGTGGCGCCTAGGCTTGAAGCTCGAGCAAAACACCTCACTTCTCGTTTAGGCGCTTTTTTTTTTTTTTCCAATTCTTGAACCGTTGAATTTTTTCCTTCATCTCTTTCGTCTTCCAAGGGCGCACTTTATTAGTTTTTTTATTTTTTCTCTTTTTTAAAAAGTTTTTAATTCGACTTTGGCTTATTATTATTTTTAAAAAAAAAAACTTTTCATTTGACTTTAATTTTACGTTTTTAAAAAATTTTATTTATACAAAAGTTAAAAATAACATATTAATGGATGAATTCTGTCCAATGGACTCCGGCTGCAGTCAAAGTGAAAGGTTTGTGGTTGCGGCCGCTAAAATAAAAGGTTAAGGTGTAGTTTGCAGCAAATTGAAAGGTTTGGGATCTTTGCTGCAATTTTTCCTAGAATTTAAATTAAAAAATGGCCCGATTAAAGAATTTTAAAGTAAAAAATGTATGTTAATTTAAAAATTATGCAGATATCATGTCAACTAATTAGTAAATAGTAGTTCTAATAGTTTTTGATTCACAAATTATAGATGCTGCAATATACTCTTCCTCATAGTCTTCGTAAGGTGCCATAGACTCGTGTCCATTTCTAAAGGATGACATGCACATGTTTTTAAGTTGGACACTAAAAGTTAAAACTGAAATATCAAAATAACACAAATGTTTCGCTAACATGGATAAAAATCAAAAGAGAAAACACAGACCTCTAATCTCCAGCTTGACAACCCAAAAGGGCTTAGCTGAACAGCAATTATCCACTTTGTGTCCATACATTTTTTTATTTTACTCTATTGCAAAAAGATCAAAGGTTCTAAGTTCGAGGAGCAAGAATGATGTTTGTAGGTTCAACCGTCTAATTCTCAAACCAGTCTAACACAACTAATAGAAAGACGTCTTTTCTTTTACCCAATTTTTCTAGTTCAGAGGTATATTAATACCAATATCCATATACATTTTTTTCTTTTCAAATTCTCCAGTAAACATAGACTATAGTTTAATACACATCAAAAAGAAAATATTCCAACTATAAACTTCAACAAGGTTTAAATGTTAACAAGTCTTCAGCATGGTATATTTTCTACATGCAAATTTTAAATGGACTGAGTTAAATTCAACCAAGTTATATTTTACCCAATTCGTCAATTGGCTTCCAGAAAAAAGGCCTCTCTTACGACTGTTCGCCAAAGTACTTTATCATTATAGTTTCTAGCAAAACTTGGTTTTGGAAATGCAGCAAGGGAACTAAATAATTATTCATTGACCGCAACTCCATTCTTTCATTGCTATCCATTGTTTCAATACATCTAGGAGCAGAAATTTATATTTATCCTAAATATCTTTGGCATGTAACCTAATGCGTCTGAACTCCCTTCATGTCAGCCGTCAGGTTCACCATAAAGTTTTTCAACATATATTCACAGAATTTCAACTTTCAACTTACAAAAATTAGACAACATTAGTAACTCGTTATAGGTACATGAAGAAAAGAGTTACCGATTGGCATGGAGAAGCGCGGCTGGCCCGAGATAAGACTCGGGATTCCACCAGTAGCTGGGACAGGACGTGCTACAGCAGGCACACAAAATGCACTCATACATTCCATCAAGCTTCTTTCTGTCCGCCTTGCTCTGCAAAATCTCCTTTCCTGGCGTCTCCGGTGGATTCTTCCTCTTCAGCCACGGTTCAATCGATTTATACTGGTTGTAAAAATTGGTCATATCCACAACAAGATCCTTGATCACAAACATGTGTGGCAAGGGGGTAATCATAGTGGACGGCCCAGATGGGATCTTGGTCAAACAAGCAAGCCCATTTCTACCGTCAATGTTCATAGCGCAGGAACCACAGATTCCCTCACGGCAGGAGCGACGGAAGGTCAGGGTTGGGTCGATCTCGTTCTTGATCTTGATTAGGGCATCGAGAACCATAGGCCCGCACTCCTTGAGGTCAATATCGAAATTCTGCAGTTCGGGCTTCTGCGGGCTGTCCGGGTTCCACCGGTAGATTTGGAAGGTCTTAGGGTCACTGGTAGACTTCGCCTTCGGCTCCACCAGTTGGGCCTGAGCTTCCGATGCGTAGGCTCGGATCAGGATTATTCTTGCAGCCGGCACCGACGCCGGAACTTTAGTTATCGCTCGCCGGAGCAAACCAGTTGCCATTGGTGTTTGAAGCTCGTAGAGAGAGAGAGAGAGAGACGCTAAACGGAAATGGCGTTATCTTGTGTGTTGGGCACACGGTTAAAAATAAGTAAAAATAAAGTTAATCATGAAGTTGCCCGCTTTAGCTCTACCTGTAAGATGGGTTGATTGTTTATAACCTACGATTTCCACCGTTGTGTGAGCACCAAAAAAATAATAATAATAATAAATAAATAAATATAAATAAATAAAAGAACTTCAATGGATGATGATTTTTTAATTAACCTAACATTCTCTCTTGTTACTGGAGATTGGGTGATAGTATATAAATATTCATATGTTGTCGATTGCTTGGTAATAGCATAGAAGTCATAGCTCAACATAACTTACGTGGCATGTTCTTTTAAAGTATTGTATTCGATTATTATTACACATTAATTTAGGAGCATGCTTGAAATTAGATAGACTTGACGGATTGGACTTGGGGTGGACTCCCGAGTTTGACTTGGGATGATATGGGGGTGAATCTACTATTTAATGCTTGCATGATTTTCAAATTTTGGTGAAGTGATTATGACCTCAATTTCTTATTCATTTTTATCTTAAACTATACATGTCAAAAGTCACGAATTGCGTATTGTTGATGTGTTATCAATGTCATTTGAATATATACCTTAATGTGACTTTATTTTGTTGTTGTGATAACATTTTCTTGTTCAATTTTGTTATTAATTATTTTAGTTACAAAGTGATAGATCGTCTGCCTAATTCATTTGTAACGATCCAACTTCTCTACTCAAACAGTTAACTTATGTATTGTCCACTCTGAAAAAATTTAAACCCTATCATATTCATCACGAATTTTTATTGCGTCCCCAAAATTCAAACCTATGACATTTCTCTTAAGAGATGTTTAAGTTAAATTTTGGTAACAATTGAGCAACCCGAATTCAACTTAAGTTTCTCTTAAAGAAAACTTTATGGATTCAAATCATGGGGACTTAATAGAAATTCATGAGGGGTAAAATAGGTTCTGACTCTTCAAAACGGATAGTACGTAAGTGTAGGCATAAAGGCGAGTCATTACAAAAAAATATGCATTTTTTTGGAACGATTCAACTTTTGTGTCTAATTCATTAACTTACATATTCTCCACTTGGGAAGCGTCTAAGTCCATCTTATTCTTCATGGATTTTTATTGCATCCCCAGGATTTTATCCCTCATGAATTTCTATCGCGTTCCCGGAATTCAAACATACAACCTTTCCTTAAGAGAAATTTAAGTTGACTCATATTACCAATTTGGCAAGGACTAGCACATGTTGATTATTCAATGTTGATGTTAATAGTTTTGTGATACTAATATTAGAATGAATCAAGTTCTAAATAATAATTGCCCATTGTATTTTGATTGGCTAAGTGATACACTAAATGGGCTTACGACATTAATTTTAAAATTTTTAAAGAAATGAAAGAAAATTGGATACATATTAAGAAAAGTTATACATATCTTAAAATAATGGATATACATATCATAAGCATTCATCATATGTATAAGATCTGCTGACTGGGCGTTAACTCATTCCACATTATCCTTCCTCCTTTTCAAGTGATGAAAGCAAGATTATACATGATGACGACTGGTGGTAAGAAAGACTCGGTATTATCACATTTTGATATTGAAATTTGTTGTGAAAACAAATTTAACATTTTAAGTTAATTTATTTGTCTTGTATTTTAATAAATAAAAATTATTTTCATAATTGAAGTTATTGATATTTATTACGTCAAAGAGAAATTAATTGTTTTTCGCATTTATGATTCTAAGAGATAAAAATTCAAATGATAATACTTTGAATTTTAGGTTTCCTAGATTTGGGGTGTTACACCATTACCTTTTTAAGACAGGATTGTATTAGCACCTAATTAAAAGAAAAGTGATGGAAGGCCTATCGTGAAGAGGAAGAAGTCAACATGTGCACAAAAATAGATTATGAGATGTGGAAGATTTGGTGTATACGATCACAACCGAAAAATGTGCAACAACTGACATCCCTAAACCTAGAACAAGGAAAAGAGAAATCAAATAAACATATAACTCATTAGAAAGTAAATCATGTTGTGTACTAGTTTTAGTAGACGGTTATTGCATAGTTTCTTTACTTCGAACTTGTGTTTGGTAAATAGTTTACCAATTTCATATATTGTGAAAATAAGTGAATTGTTGGATCAATAGCATAATGGATTTATTTGATCAAGACTAATAATTTGATTCTTTATTAGAGTGTATTTGGTATATGATGTCAATTTGGCATTCTGTCCAATTTTTGGTGAATTTATTTGATATCAATTTCTTATTCATTCTTCTCCTAACTTTAAATGTCACAAGCCAACAAATTTTTTGTTCTATTCATTTTTTATTAATAATTGTATCTTTATATTATTGAAACCTATTGGATAATGCGATTGTGACTTATATTCTTGTGAAATGTCACATGTTATCCCAAATGTGATTATGGCCTGTAATCTTGTTACTGGAATCTATATATTTAGCCCATGTTTGAGCCCCATTAATTTTCATTACATTACATTTCATTTTTTTCTCTCCTATTTTCAACCACACAATCTTTTATAAAATAATATTACACGTAAATCGAAAATTTTTCCTTCTTTTTCAACCACTCATTTTTCAAAAAAATACTATTCCACCCATTAATTTTTCCACGTAATGGGGGCCAAACAGGGGCTTAAATGACTGTGACATATTCTATCAAATACTGAAACTTTATGTGACCTATAAATTTTGTGCGGCTCTGCCCTTTCATGTTATTGATAAGGGCTAAAGGTGTAATGCAATTTTTACCTATTATTTTGTAAAATTATAATATGTTCTTAACCTGTGTGTGATATATTAACTGCGTAAACTGTAACTTGTAATGTAATTATATTGTGACCTCAAGTTTTATATGGATTTTACCTATGATTTTGTGAAAAATGTAACTTTTTATATCACACAATGACCTTGTGTGTGAATAATCAAGTCTGAGACCTAGTATATATACATTTAAAAGTATGTGACTTGTCGAATATACATCTATACAAGAGGTCACATAATTAGACATTACATAATTCATTTTGAAGAAATACTACAACAATCAACAAAAAAATGTCGCAAAACTGAATATAAAATGATTTACAAGATCAAAATAATCAAAGTGAAGTAGAATACTAAACATTAAATGATTCATGAACATATCGAATTAATATTCAACAACATACACAGTCACAATCTAACATTTGATCAACCATGTAAACACTGACGACAAAAAAAATCATGATTTACATGTTGAAGTCGTTCAACTGCCTTGTTCTCCTTCTTTGCAGCTTGCCTAAGATGTCGATGTTTAAATGTCACGCATCATTCGATTTCGAGATAAGATTAGTAAACACAATTTTTGTCGCATTTTTTGCTATTTTGAAGAATAACTAGGTCACAGTCGTAGAAAATCGGTATACAGCATGGAAATATGTCACAATATATGATTAATTGAAGAACAATCAATTTTTCGTATAGAGGTTGTTGAAGAACTATCTTCACTGACAATAACATTCTGTGAAAATGTTACCATTTAACATATCTACTTATACAACAGTTACAATATTTAGGTCACAATCAAACATGGTAGTAATAGAAAATTAGGTCATAATTATCGAAGAATAGAAGAGCAATCGGGTCATAAACAAAAGTCAAGTTACAAAATAATCGAAGAACAATCATTCACAACAAAAAATGAGTTCATGATACAAAGTCAGGTCATAATCATGTAATAATCGAACAACGATTCGAAGAAAATTTGATTAACATAATGAAAATCAGAAGCACCCAAAAAACTTCGAACACAATTTACTCACTAACTCAAATTTACATAAATATTGTATTAAATAAAAAATTAATAATGAATTTACATTCTTGGAAATTTATTTTTCCCCAAAACTGGCTCTTTTGAGATTTTTTAAACGAGCTTTTTTCTGAGATTTAGTTTTTTTCCCCTTTATCCCCAGTGTTTTTCTTTTTTTCTTTCCTTTTTTTCAGCCTCATATTCATTATTCGAATAAGATCCCCAATCTATACTCATTGTTGCCATCATTTTACAGTTGGTTTTGTATGGATTTAGGTTTTAATAAAAACTTGGACTGTAAAATAATTTATGACATTATGAAATGAGGAGAACAAATTCAGCACTTCCACTATAGATGAAAGCTTCAATTCTCTACTTTCTTAGCATAGGTGATACAATCGGTTGAACAAGAGTGTCAAGCATATCTCTCAAAGGATGTGGTAGAAGAAGTAAGTTTGAAAACTCTAAACAATTTTTATCTCCCATTATTGATGATAATGTTGGTAAGTAATATATTTAATTAGTTATTAATTAACAATATTATATTTAATATTTAATGTTAAAAAAATTAATATAACTTGATTTGTGAAATAATAAACTTAAACATTGATTATTGAAATATAAAGATAAGAATCAGGGATAGGTATAATTTCCTCATTTTTATATTGGAACCTTATCATAAAAATATATCCCCGCGATTCTCTTGGTTTGGCTCCTCATTCTCCTACTCATAGTAGCATTCTTGCATTTACTCGTGTGGATACTAGTACCAGAACAAACAATAATAAGAAATCTAGTGAATATGATCAACGAGATGGATGTCATTTGACATCGATAATCAAGTCTTGTCCTTGTGGATAAATGTTTATGTTAGATTTTATGACTCAAATATGGTTAGAAATCTTGTGAGATTGCGCATTTGATTTTTACTTGGATAGGAAGATTGTATTCAAGTTGAATAAAAAAAGGAAATTCTCTCTTGGTCAAAGTTCTATATTCAATTGTAACCTAATTTTAACAGATTTTCTTACCTTCTAGGACTCTTCCAGGGTTTAGAACGTAGCCTATAAATACAACGGTCCTTGTCCGTTATGTTTAAGCATTATTACTATGTATGTAATTTCTCTCCATATTGTCAGTTAATATATATCTTTCCTCTGTGATTAACTCTCTTTGTTCTTCTTTACTTTTAATTTTGTTTCTTATTGTGATCTTTATTACTTCATATTGTGTCATTAGTTTCATTC